ATCCATCCATCCATCATCAGTCATCCATCCATCCTTCATCAATCCATCCATCCATCCATCCATCCATCCATCCATCATCAGTCATCCATCCATCCTTCATCAATCCATCCATCCATATATCCTCAATCATCCATCCATCCATCCATCCATCATCCATCCATCCATCCATCCATCCATCCATCCATCATCTTCCACTTATTCAGAATCAGGTGGAGAGGCAGCAGATTGAGCAGGGAGGATATGTTGAGCTAAACCTGCCTTTTTTGTAAAATTAATAACCTGCTGGAATGTGGTCTGATCTAGACGTGTTGTTAATTCCTGTCGGAATTGTTCTTTGGCTTCTATAGCTTCAACGGTGAAGGTGGTCTGTCGTAATCGTTCTTTCAAAAGCTGTGCCTTCTGTAGGGTCTTGCTTGTTGTCCACCAACAGATGATTTAAGTTGAAGGCTCTTAGGAAAGATGCCACTCTGTCTGCAACTGAGATTGAATCTCAGGTGGTTCCTGTAGTCCACTTCCTTTCTTTGCTGTTTGTTCTAACTCTGTGGCTTTATGGCAAAGATTGGTTCACCCCAAAGATCCAGTTCCCTGGCACAGAGTAATATTGTGTATGCTGTTAAGTGTCAGGAGGACTGTGATCAGTTATATATTGGGGAAACAAAGCAGCACAGCACATGAAAAACATGTACTGTAATACTGGCTGAGTTCTACTCAAACAGTACGTCCACACTCACCAGAATATGCCAGTCATATTCCACTACATCTTACAGCTCATACAAATCAACAGACTGTCTCCAACTGGAACAGCTGACTCCACCATGCACTTCCCATAAAGTTAGGACCCAGTGGCCCAGGACTGGACCTGACCTCCAGTGAGCATGCACTTTCTAAGGGATTTACCAACTCTGCTGAGTCATCAGGCAGCAGGTGGGACCCTCTGAGTAAATACTCGCCTAACCTGACCCCATACTCTATAAAGTTAACCACTCCAGAACATACCTGACCCTGAGATGGGATAATGGGCTCTCTGAAGGGATCCGGATCTTGGGAAACCGTTTGTTTCATAGAGCCGTTCAAAAGAGCCGTTGGATTTTGAATGTATTACGTCATCATGTAGGGAAATACGTCATCACGTAGCCGTATGTAATGACGTAATCCCGTCACGTGGGTGGAACCATTTATTTGTGAAGCGGAAACCCCCCTCCCCCTTTCACTATGAACTCCTGTACTCCACAACTCCACCTGTTTTCCGTGAAAACGCAAAGTGGGAGCGATTTAAATATGAAAAACAAAGATTATACGAGGAATAAAAGAAATAAAACTACAAATGGCTCATTACTGCCCAAGACTCGGCTCCTATCGTTCGTTGTAAAGAGCCGTTCAAAAGATTCGGATCGTTCGCGAACGTCACAGCTCTACCTAATTCACACCTTGATCCTAAAACTCTGTTTCAATGGGGAAAATGTGGCAGAAAAGGGGAAATAGCTAAAAAGGTATGAACAGCTGAAATACCAAAAGTCACAGCTAGAATTATATACTAATTGTTGAAACAGCACAAAAATTGCGGAACGAGGTATCTGCCAAAAAGTGAATGGTCTCAACAGTGTGGATGCTTATGAAGTATTCACACACTGAATATATTTCAAAACTCCATACCAGCTTTGTGTGTTACAGCCTCTCTGAGTATCTGATCACACTGGACCATCACACCCAAGTCAACCACCCTGCAAGAGAGAAAAACAATCASACATTCAACAAAAATGTATCCATTATCAAAAAAAATAAATTAAATAAATAAAATAAAACACTAAATAAAAACATGCTGGTCTGTCAGTTTCATAGAATTCTGTTTACTACTGAGGACTTATTTATGTTAGTCTTACCTGTGTAAGTGTTGGATAGGCAACTTCAGGTTATTAATCACTTTAAATGAAAGCTAAAGTTCATCTCTTTATTGATATTTTAAAGGGAAATGTGCACTAATTGCAAAGTGGCAAATATTAATCACTGACGGTTTTTCTGACAACTGATTGCCCAGGATACAATTTTGCATCCTGTGCAAAATAGGTAGACCAACAGAGTCAAGTCCAACATGGATTCCTGGCATCTTAAAACACCTTCAGTCTCACAGTAACATTATTTTCCAAGTTATTTACAAGCTAATACAGAAGCAACAGCAAGCTGTAGAACTACTAGCGCAGTCTGCACAACAGCTTCATCAGTTTGCTGCAAAGTTGGTTGTTATGTTTCCTGCTCCCTTGAGAAAACTGCACTGAAACATGAAAACCGAAATGATGCCGAGTTCAAGCAGTTTTCTCAAGGGAAACTCCTTGAACTTGATGTCATTTCAGTTTTTAGATGTTTTATTAAATTACTTGTGTTAAAGCTGCTAGTTTTCCTCCTCTTGACCAGTTTGTTGAATATAATTTGCAGTCGGCCTTACTGTTGTCACCTTTATTCACCTGGAAATACGTTAACATAGCTCCTCCTCTACAACCCACCTGCTGGTTAAAGTAGTTTGTTCAGCTTGGCTACCGTAGTCGTCTTCTGTTTCTTTTTTGTTTTTATGTGGCTGGCTTTCAGTCTATGGCGAATTACTGCCACCTACTGGGTTAGAACATTTATGCACCAACTATTAAGAAGGAACCAAAGCTGGGATCGGGTCCTGTAGTATCGGAACATTTTATAAGTATGAGTATGAGTAAAAATACATGGTATCGGACCGATACCCAATACTGGTATCAGTATCAGTGCATTTCTAATGTCCCGGCACTCCACAATCACTTGAAAAATCTCCCTGGAAATTCTCTCGCTTTCAGCTTGCATTGAGTGCACACATCTGGCAACAAATGATGTCATCCAGGGCGGTACATGTAACTCCATTGACCAGTCAGTGACTGCTACATGCTTCCAGTTAGATCGGAACCCCAAGCCCCAAACAGTGTCGGCCCCTCAGTACTACCTCAGAGGGGGCTCCACAAACCAGGCAAGATGGGGGTGGGACCTTAAACAGGTGTGGTGTGGGGCAGAGCCTGTGGCAAAGTGCCTATAGAGACAACATTCACTCTCTTACTCACACCTAGGGACAACTTAAAGTTTCCATTTAACCTAACAGTCAAGTTTTTGGTCTGAGGAAACCGGAGTACCTGGAGAAAACCAACACATGCACACCAAGAAGGGCTAAGGTTCGATCCGGCAATATTCTTGCTGAGAGGCAACAGCTCCACAAACTGAACCGCTGTGCTGCCAAAGAATCCTTCTGTAGAAATGCATTGTTTTCTGAAAAAACTGTGTCATGTGAAATTAACAGCAATGTAAGTTTACAAAGTTATTTGCATGAACAGTTTTCACATTTCAGAGTTTTTTAAAGACAACAGTAATGCACATTGGTTTTGACTAATCATTATTTCAATAGTCTGGTCAGAAATTAATTCACACAACAAACAAAAGATTGTTAAAAAAATCCACTTTAAGAGAAGTGAAATTTGACTTTAAGAAATGGTTAAATACACTACAAACAGCTAATTTTAAAACTGCATTTTCCTCTAGACATTTCTAAGTATCATATATTTATATATATATGAATAATAAAAGCCTAGCCTTCTTAAAGGAATGCATAACCAGAGTTTTAGACTGAGATAACCTTCTATCTTTCTTTCATTCATTCATCTTTATTTAACCAGACTAAAACTGGAGATCAAGATCTCATTTGTGAGTGTAGGGGTCACCTCGAGTGAAGAAACAGGAGTTACTGCCTCAAAGCAGGTCTCGGACAGGCCTGAAAGAAGGCAGGAACACTGAATTCTATTTTAGGCCATGATGGGTCATTTCAACCT